TGATCAATGAAGCCTCCTGAACACCGCCATACCCACCGAGTCAGGTAGTTTTGGAACACCCTGTATACAGTGTATTCCTTTGGGCGCCAGGTGCATCCTTGCACCAGCCCGACTCATGGGGCCTTTAATTTCTAATCCGCAACACGTCAACTGCGGGAGTCTCCTTGACCGGATCTTCCCGCTAGCTCCTAATCCGACATGGTAGAGGAGAACGTGAGGGCGGCGAGTATTTACAGGAATCAGCCGGCTTCTTTGGCAATAGCTAACACGGTGGGATTTAATTCCAACATTGGCCCTTTATTTTACCTAGGTAAACGAGTACAGTCGGGTGATGTATACGAGCGCGTCTCTATACAATTCTAATACAAAACGCGGTCGCGGAGGTCATCTCTTTTGACGGTGGACGGTGCAACTCTGCAACCACCAGGACACGTGACGAGGCGCGCAGCCCCCACTCCTCGTGCCAAGATGTACTGTGCGGATGTGAGAAAAGTCGCGATACATTATCCGCCGATTTTCGGTATTCCCGTTCCGCGGTTCACAACGAAGTTTCAGTCCCCGATCCAATGATTCCCGAAGAATCCCACGTTTGCTCGAACTCGTGCGTTTGCTCTCGCCGCGATCCGCTCTTCGCTTTTCGGCACTCACCTCCCGCCAGTCTCCGGGCGGCGCCGATCTTACCCGAGCCCGCCCAATTTTCGGGCTCGGCGGTGCCGGTTTCCCTCCCCGGCTTCCCCTTGCCGCAAACCTCCGTCGTCGTAGACATTCTCTTGGCGGTTTTCGTCGGCGACACGGCTCTCCGTGCCTCTATGCTTTTATGTAACTGGCCGTCCCACGGACACCACGTTACAACAGGGGTATACTTACATATTGTATATCGCGTTACTTATACAACCTACCGATCAGATGGCGTTGCTGATCGTGCTAACAGTCTAAAGCATGAAGACTAGAGCAAAGGAGGCCGAACGCAGTACTTTGGATGTGGTCCTGAAACGGTGTACAGTAACGTCAGTTGCACATCATGGTAGCGCTGTAGTCAAACGACCTAGAGAAAGACAGACAGAGAAGTGAGAGTGACCGAGATAACTTCGTTATATACGCCTTTTAGTGGGAATTATGTAAAGAGAATTTTTTTTTGCACACAATTAAACTATTTTATGTTGTTTATGTGTATTGTCGGCAATAAAAAAAAAATAATAATATATTTTCATGATGCGAAATACAATAATAAGATATTACAATTGTAACGTTTTTACGCGATTATGTGATGATCTCCGAAGTGTGATAGGATATTGTGAAATTATTGTTGCCCGATAGATTGGTAGTAAAATTATGTCGATATCATTTTGATGCCTTAATGGGTTCCAAATATCCGTATGGAAGGTACCTATTTATCATTATGTGTTGAAGTTATCTTTTAGAACAGTTATTAGCTTATAGGTAACTTCCAGACGAATATTTGGTACTCATTTAGTTCACTTTTGGATAACTTTCTGGGTTGTGCTACTTGAAAATAACGAGAGATTAATGATGTCAGTTCTTTATTACAAACACTTATATGAAACTACCATGACCACCAGGTTGTACCTTAATACGTTTAGTGCGAAAATAAACACTTTTGTATAATACACACTGTGTTTAGAGAACGTGCAGACGTTGATAATAATTAAATTGTAATTCCTCCGATTTGAGTGTCGGGTCAACCGTGATCACTTCTTTCCATTGTTTTCCAATCTTTAGCTCCTTCATGCAAACACTGAATTTCTAGTGAAATATTTGCTTCGTTTTTGGCTTGCAGTACGAAATCAAGTCAGCCAGGGTTCCCTAGTACGTGCACTTCAGCAGATACCCTGGCATATCTATAAGCTGAGAACAAAAATACGGAAAAAATACACGTTAGCAAACGATTTTTGTTTCTCAATCGAATGACACCAGTCCCATTAAAATGAAGTCGCTTCTTTACGATAAAGAACTAAATAACAAATCATAAATAAAGTAAATAAAAATTTCAAAATAGATATAATTTCTAAAATATGATATATCGTTTCTCGATCTAAACAATATAAAATGAGATGATTTCACTGTAATTATTAATAGTTAATTCCTGATATATGTGAGACTCACTTTTGACATTTAAAGAATTGCAGAAGATAAGAGTTAATGTTGACCCTGTGCCATCAGTTTCATCATTTGGTCACACGTCATTCATAGGGATAATTCCATTGTCCTTGATCGTTAGTGATCGTTTTGTGTAGAATAAGACTGAAAAATATCAACGATTACATTCGGCAATTAATAACTAAAGATTCCTGTGAATATTTCTATCTTAAAAAATGTTTTTTCTTAATTTTTTGAAGTAAATGGTGCTCTTAAAGAAAATTTAGTGAATCAACCCTCTGGAGTTCTCCCTGAATTTTAAATGAAAGTATTTTCCACTGTAAATAAAAATAATTGACAGTTACCTGTGGAATACTGAAAAGGGCCTGCGTTAGCGCAGGCCCTCCGCATTCTAATGGACAGAAAAAAAAACAACATAATTATACAAAAAATACCTGTCGCTCTCAAGCAGTACAGTACTTACTTCACCCTCTTAGGTGTGCAATGGTTCAACCTGTCGAGCCACCTTTTTTTTTTTGAGGAGGGAAATCTTGCAAAGACCCCTGCCGACCAGTGACGGCAGGGAGTGTCGGATTCCTACCGACTAAAACCCCTCCTATTGCTCCAGGCTCCACCCCGGAACCGCTTTCGCATTATTTCAGGGTGTCGCCCTATTTCCGTGTTCTGTAGGCTTTTCTCCTTCCGCTTGATATCTGATTATACGTGCCCAGTGTGCCTAGATTAGAAGTCCAGGTGTTTGTGGTTTGTTTGTGGTTGTTTCTCAGCTTTCTCGGTCTCGCTCTTCCGAATCATTGTTGCATGTATGAGAGTCCTCACCGCTATCCACGGCTCCTCTCCGCTAACCATCAATGGGGCAAGATTTTATTCATTGAGGTTGCGGACTCCAAGAGTCTTCATCAGCCTTGCCCTGTCGTCCGTCACTGCAGTGCACTCAAAGATGGTGTGCCTAGCGTCAACGTTGGCCTGCCTGCAGTGCGTGCATGTTGCTTTGTCGATCTTGTTGATCCTTTTCAGGTACTGATTGAAGCAGCTATGTCCAGTCAGTGCCTGAGTTATGAAGTAGTCGACCTTCCATGCCATGCCGTGATGTCGGGAATTAACGTGTGTGTCCAGCGCCTCGTCTTGCCTTCATTCCATCTTTCCTGCCATCTGTTCAGCAAACGTTGTCTTGCCGTCCTTTTGGCCTCGGCTTTTTGCTCCTCCGTTCTCTGTCTTACGTCGTCCCGATGAATTTCCTCATAAACCTCGCGTCTCTCTTAAACGAGCAGATCGATAGGCGGCGTGCTCGCTATTACCAGCGCCGCTGCCTCCGAGACTGTCCTATAAACGGAAATGGCTTGCAGGGCACTACGCCTTTGTACTGCGGCCAGTCGCCGTTTTGAAGCCGCTCTCTCTGCTGCACTTGCCCAAACCTCTGCTCCATAGAGCAGGATCGAGTAAACGACGCTGTTTAATAGCTTTCGTTTCAGCTCATCTGGTCCTCCTATATTTGGCATCAGCCGTGATAACGACACCGCTGTCGACGCCGCTTTTTCCGTTGCTCTAATTACGTATTCCGTGAACCTCAGGCTATCATCTAGTTGTACGTCCAAGTACCTCAGGGACTTTCTCCAGGGTACGATATGGCCTTCCAACTCCAATGATGGCGGTACTCGTACACGCTTGTCCATTAACATTACTACCTCCGTTTTATGAACTGCCATTTCCAGCCCGTTCTGCTTCAACCAATTGCTGGCCCAGCGAACGCTCTCGTTTGTCATAAGTTCAAGTATCCCCGTCGTTTTCGCTGTTACTGCCAACGTAGTATCGTCCGCGAATCCCACTATGAGCGAGTGATCCGGAAGATCTAAGTCGATGAATTTATTATACATTAAGTTCCACAGAAAGGGCCCAAGGACGGAACCTTGTGGAACGCCTGCGGTCACCTCGTAACTAGCCGGTACGTCCCCGGTATCGTATAACGGCTGTCTGTCGCACAGGTAGCTGTCTATCATGCGCAACAGATACTTTGGTGTCCGTCTTTCTGCCAGGGCGGCCATAATACTCTCCCAACTAGCGGTGTTGAACGCATTTCGTATATCGAGTGTAACAAGTGCACAGTAGCCTTTGCTACGCCACGTGCCCCTTTTCGCTTCTTCCATTGCCTCTACTACTCGCATGATGGCTTCTACCGTGGAGCGTCCTTTACGGAAGCCGTACTGCCGTACTGATAGCCCTCCTGTGGCCGTGATGTGCGCTTCCAGTCTACCCAGCAGGAGTCTCTCGAGTAACTTCCCCATGGTGTCCAAAAGACAGATCGAACATTTTGATGAGGGTTCCTGAAGTGGCTTGTCCCCCTTACGCAGCAGTACTAGCTTCTGTCGTTTCCACCGCTTGGGGAAGACTCCCCTTCACAGACATCCGTTGTAGACATCCAACAGTAGGGTTGGCCACACTCTAGTCACCATTCTAACTGCCGCGTTGGGGATGCCGTCAGGGCCAGGCGACTTTCTTGGCTGCAATCTCTTTCTCGCCTCCATCATGAACGGTTCCACCGCGACGTCTCCTTCCTGCCATGATGGTGCACGCCTGTAGTTGTGCATAGGGAACAGGGCCTGCACTATAGTGTTCATGCGTTTCGGGCACGATAACCCTGGGATCTATTGTCTGCCTAGCAACCTCTTAGTCACTATACGGAACGGCAGCCCCCAGGGGTCCTTTTCTACCGAACGGCAGAGCTCCATCCAACACCTCTTCTTACTGTTTTTGATGACAGTACGCAATTTCTTCCTAGCCTCTTTGAATTCCAAGTCCAGGTTTTGGTTTTTGCCCTTTTTCCTGCGTCGCTGCGTCTTCCTGCGAGCTGCTAGGCATCGTCCCCGCAGCTCTGCTATCTCTGGGGTTCACCAGTGTACCGGCTGTCTACCTCTCGTGTAGTTTTTGCACCTAGGCATAGCTGCGTCACATGCTGCCGTGATGATCTCAGTAGCATAACTTACTAACGCATCCAGCTCTTTGGTGTCGCCCATCCTTGGCGGGTTTCCCTGTTTCCTTGCCGTTTCTAGAAAGAGGTTCAGCTTGTTTTTATCGAGCCTGCGTAATGCCCATCCAGCTTTCTTTACGCCTACTTTAGACAGTGGTTCCTGGCGAGTCCTCCGCGTTTGTTCTGTTCCCAATTCAAACTCGATGTATTGGTGATCGCTGAGGGTAAAGTCCTCGAGTACTCTCCATGCCTTCATTTTCGCGGCTGCAACGATAGTACCCAGGGTGATATCAACGACCGAACTGGTGCTTCCCCGTCGAAAGGTAAGGGCGTTCCCTTCGTTAAGTACGAGATCTAGCCTCGTTATCATCTCCGAGAGGGCTTCGCTTCTGCGGTCCAGTCTCCTGGAGCCCCACTCGGGTGACTTACAATTAAAGTCGCTGGCTACGACTACTTCGCCTCTCGCTTCTCTGAGGTTGTTCTCCAGCGCGTCCAGTTGTTTACGGAAAACTTCATAGGTCTCAGAGGGTGAGAAGTAGCAGCTGTATATCCTAACTCCGCCTATGCCTAGCCACACATAGTTGGCCGTAGGTTTACCGACTTCTTTGATCTTTGGGTCCTGTCCTCGGACATTTATCGCCGCCCTACCTGTCGTGTCCTGAAACCAGAAGCCCGTATCCGGAATCCGGTACTGCTCGCTGACGATCAGTACGCCCGCGCCCTTCTCAACGGCCGCTTGGAGGAGCAAGTCCTCCGCTTCGCGACCCCTGCCCAGGTTTACCTGCAAGAACCTTACCATCTCCTAGCCTTTTTGAGCTCCTCTTGGAAGCATTCGCACTTCGCGCTGCCCAGTACGTGTTCCGTTCCGCCAGGTTTGTTTCTTGTACTGCACTCCATGCAGAATGAGCTTACCTTGCAGTCTTTGGCAAGGTGACCCTCCTTTCCACACAGGCGGCACAATTTGGACCTGGCCGGTGCCTTACATACCGCCGAGACGTGGCCAAATCTGAGACAACGGTAGCAACGGACTACATGGGTACGTTCCCTGACCCGGCAGTTCACCTAACCTATCTTCAGGTGGCGTGTCTTCAACACCTTGTCCGCTACCGCTGCCAGCATGCTCACTAGTGCTGTGTGGGTACCTTTAAACCCTTATCTCATGGCTTTCACCTTGATATCGCCTTGAGATGCGTCGTCGACAGTAGTCCTAATTGCATCCTGTAATTCAACCTCCTCCGTGACTTCGTCCGAATCTCGAATTTCTAGTGTGCTAGTCTGAGCCATAGTTCGCACTGTAGCCTCGTCGCCAAGAGCCTGCGCAACGACGTTTCTCAAGTCCTCGGCTTTACCACAACCGGGTTTAGTTTCCAGGAGAAGCTCTCCTCGCCTTGTTCTTCTTATGCCCAAGACCGTCACGCCGTGCCTTGCCGGGTTCACTTTACCCTTCATGTTTCGAAGGACCACGGCATACGACGGCGCATTCTTTGTCGTCACCAGCACCGCCTCCGGCAATCTTCTCCGAACTCCACTCGATTTCTCGTCACTTACTCCTCTGGACGCTTCCTTCACTCGCTCCTTCCGGCGCACTACTTTTTCCCCGGGCGCCCCCGGTTCCTCGATTCCGGTTGGTTGTCCTACACGTCGTGATGTACCATCGTCGATCACCAAGTCCCTGTCCTTGTCTTCGCCTCGTCGCTTTCTTTTCCTGGCCGTCTCCTCTGGCGAAAACAGCGCTCCCCGTTTTTTGCCGCCCGCTTTCGGTGTGTCTGAGAGACTTTTCACCACGTGCTTTGTTCCCCGTACAAGGGCCGTTTGTGTGCCACGTGTAGCTCCCGTCTAACTGACTTGGACCTCCCTATCCGTCGTCTCCACTGGAGTAACGTCGTTCTGGCCAGTGCTACTCCTACTCTCGGGATATGCCCGCTCCAAGCCGTGCATTTGCGCCGCTCTAGTTTTCATAAGCGCCTCGTGACAGTCCTGTATCTGCGTGCAGTGCACTGGCGCTGCAAGGGTATCATCCCGGATGCTCTTGTGGATATTTCTGTGCTCCTTTAGGACCTCATCGATGATCGCGATGTTTTTCTTTAGGCTCGCGATCGTGCGGCCCTCGTCTCGCTCTAGTTCCTCTGTTACATCCCAAAGCGGATTTACTCAAGTAAATGCAATCGGTAAATTCTTTTCGGCACATCGAACTTTTCGATTGCCTCATGTAATTACTGAGACGCTGAGTATCAGGCCACGCGCTCACACTACATGCCAGCGCGAGGAAAGAAACAAGACTCTTTCTGCAAGATCATCAATATCGGGGTGCATTATCTCCAAAGTTCGAGCTAATGCACCTACAGTATTTGGAACCAATAGGCAGTTTTTCATGAATCCTGGCACCAAACGGAACTCCTCTAGGAGTCACCGTCTGAATCATCGAGTCTTGCTTGTTCCTCCGCTGGTAGTATTTTACGTGTCTTCGGATCCTTGTGACCAAGCCTTCCCACCCGAGGGCCAGAGAAGTCATCGCGGTGAGCGTTCTATTAAATCTATCGCGAGTGTAATAACAGACGACGGATTGCCACAGAAAGAACTCAGTGAAGTGCAATATCAACTCTTTCAAACTTATCAGCCATTGTAAGTCAACTTATCTTACCTACAATAAATAATCAATCTGTATACCTACACGTCGCTCTCATTCGTCAGCATTACATCCCCCACTTTCACGGGAAACAGATACGCCTAGCGTTAAATAGTAGCCCACAATCAGATATATCTACGCCCTAGCAGTTTCATTAGCTATGGCCTAATACCTCCAGCTGCCGCTTAGAGCCTAACGGCTCTAATTCCCGCAATCTCTTTATCCGGCTGCGTTGTAGCCTTGACTAAAACCCCCTTCCCCATCAGTGTTTGTTTAGTTATATTTTCTTCCATTCCTGTTCCCACGAGTAGCTAGGGAAAGAGATGTCGGTCCGCTCAGAGCACCGCATGCACGGATAAGGCCTTCATACGATGGGATGCGGCCTGATGTCCCAAAGGCTTCGTTTGCGGCACTCTTAACCCCAGTGCCATTCATCCATCGTGTTGTAAACCGTAATATAGATTTGGAAACGCGCCTACGTCAGAAACGACGGAATGGCCACGCTGCGACGCGGCACATTCCACTCGCCAATATTATGGAAACAAAGGAGACACATCACCGACACCATGGCGAAATATAGAAACAATCCTTGGTTATTGTATCTCTAAAAATTCCATAATTAAGATATAAAAAGCGGACGGCCTGTCGGCACGTCAGACGAAGTAAGAGAGCTACAAGTGAAGCGTTACTACGGTAACTTAGTCGAAGTACTAACCTCCAGCCTCGTGATTTCGTACTCACCACGTTTACGATTTATTTCTAATAGTGTATTTTAACGTAACTTGTGTTGTTTCAAATAAATCTTTTACTTGTTATCGAGAGTTAAGTTCCAACTTTTTACTCGGGCAACGAATCCCTGTTTTGTTTCAAATAAATCTTTTACTTGTTATCGAGAGTTAAGTTCCAAGTTTTTAATCGGGCAACGAATCCCAAAGTACCTGACTCCCGAAAACCCTTTCCGGCAGTCAAATCCGTGAACCCTGTATTTGGGCCCACAAAAATTGGTGGCAGCGGTGGGATTGCCAAAGTGTTTCGGTAAAATAACCAAACGCGATCGAGACTCTCAAAAACCCAAGTATAAAGTAAAACAAGATCTACGTGCGCGCTATTAAACCTAAGTGAAACAAGAAAACGAAACCTAAGTGAAAAAGATAAACAAAACCTAAGTGAAATAATAAAACGAAACCTGAGTGAAACAAGAAAAACGGATCCAACTTTCCAAGGAGGAACCAGGATTCGACATCAAGAGGCCAGAGCAACGACTCATGACCTACGGCAAGAAGAAAGACGACATCTCCATTGGCATCACAGATTTCAACAAAGAATGCAGAACTGCGTGTTACTGTAAGTTAAGATAATACTAACTCAGCATTAAGCAAACCATTGTAAACCGAGCCTAACATAATTGCAAATGTCTCCTAATGCCTCAAAACGATCCTAATCGCGACTCCGTGTTAGGGCAGACAGGTTCGCGATCAGTAGATTCATATTTAAACCGCCACTCAGAGCCAATAGTCGGGGAAAACCTCCACATAAACCGAAGAGAGAGTCCCAGCAGGACACCCCTTCCTTCAGCTCAGAGAAATCTCTTACCTACCTTAGAGAGGCTAGGAAATGTCGGCTGTAGTCACAGCAAGCTCCGCATCTCGTGGCGAGGGCGCCACTAAACAGAAGCTACCATCTACGCCACATAGCAGAGAGATCTATCTCTCTCTTCCTCTCTTGTCTCTTGCCACCTTACTGGCGGCTCGTCATTCGCTAACACGCTCCTCTCGAGAACGGTTCAGTTTTTCTACTTACCTTTATCTTAACGTTTTACTTTTCAATTAAATACAGAGAAATAGTTAATCAAAGAATTCAGAGTTGACTTTTATAATTCATTTAGTTGTAAAAGAGTTGCGCAGTGTTCTGCATTAAAGTTATTCATTCACTTAAATAAAGTGTTGTGTTCAACCTATTCGATCGCCCGTGAAACGTCCTCATCCTCACCTTCCATCTATAAAGTCCGTCAGGTTATGGGCCCTGCACGAGAGGAAGGACTGGCCGTGGTCACAAATCCAGAGAGCACAACAACTAAATAATTAAGTAAGTAAAGTGAAAATAAAAAATTGAAATCAAGTGAAAGTGACGTGAAATATAAAGAAAGTGAGACACATGCATGATGTAACAAAGAGAAGAGTATCGTGTTAGGAGAGTTTTGTTACACGAAGGGGAAGAATAGTGCATCGCAATAAATAGGAAAAAGCACGTCGAAACTCGAATCGAGAATTCGGAAGTTACGCCGGCAACAAAAGCCGATTTCGCGAATTGAGTTGACGCGCCGGTACATGCGAGAAAGAGGAGAAGTATTCTCCCTCTTTCTCTCTCTCTCTCTCTCTCCATCTCTTTCCTTCACGCTCAACTCATGGCGCTGCGTTAGATGTGAACAGCCGCGATGCCGCGCTATACATATATGTGTACGTGATTCTCTCTCAAAGTACGGGACGCTGTTCGTTCGAGAGCCGGTGCGCGTCGTACACGATCGGTTTACGAAAACGTGCATCATTGTGGTCGGCAGAGCGCGTCGTCGCATTTAAGCAGTGTGGATGATCGAATTTTTTATATTTTTGCGAATTATTTTCTTTTTCGTCTCGATTTTTTTTCTTCCTTGATTGCGATGCATGAATAAGTCCAACCCTTTTATTCACAGTGGTTGATTTAAAAACTAAATTGAAACGAACCAAGTAAAATTAAATATACAGAGATTAATTGTTTATTCATAGAATATTTTTATTTTTTTTACCACTGTAATAAAATTTTTTTTGATCAATACGAACGGACTATATTTCATGTATGAGATCGCCCCTGTCCCTAAAGTAACGATAATGCCATCGTATGGCTAATCGGTTGGGAGGGAGTACATGAATGTAGGCCCAAGTATAACGATCACGAATATCAATTGTAGTACTTTAATATTCAAATGTGTGATATTAAATAAATAAAATGTTTTTACACAAGGATGACTGATTCAGAGACTGATCAAGAGAGGACCGAAGAGGTCACCGAAAACGGTAACGACCAAACAAGAAACATGCAGTCAGACAACACTGTAAATACAGAGACGACCACAACTGAAGGCAGTAAATTAAATCATTGTATCCCACATTTACAGTAATAAAATATAATTAATGAGAAAGAGTACGGATCCATGAGTATGTGTTTAATCTCTATTTAGAGATAGCATGTACGCTAAATATAGAGAAAGAGAAAAACAGATAACTAATACTAAAATGACAAAAATTTCAGAAGGTCAGTTAACTTCGATCCTGCAGGAGCTCAGCAAGGTCGTAAAAATTCAGGGTGACCAATTTGGGAAGATGGCCAAAGCCTTCGAATCATTGGCCACAACCCAGAAGGAGCTGGTCGAGGAGACCAAAAAGAAAAACGGGATGATAGACACCTGTTTGGTCGAGATCAGGAATCTCTCGGTTCACGTCAAAGAGGTACCAGAACATTTATCACCACCTCAACAGAACTCAACGTCGTTTGACAATGCACATATACAGATAAATAACAGACAGACAAATCAAAATTCAGAGAACAGACAAAATGTGCAGACGTTAGCTGATTTGAATGAAACATTTAGAGAAATCGGTAGACAGATGACAATTCAGAACAATTTAACGAATACTGTACTGACAAACAAAATAAACATTAAAAGAGACTACAAATTGAAAAGCAAGAGTAAACTTGAATTGTGGCTCGATTCATTACATTCAGAATTATCGGCCAATGACATATCCGATTTTATTGATAACCCAGAAAAATATGAGAATGATAATTCAGAGAGTACAATTAAAACTAAAAAGATTGTACGAGATTTAATAATAAGTCATTTGGACGAAAACTATCATAAGAAAGTTTTAAATATTTCAGAGCCTTACTGATTGACTCAGGACTACCGAAAACTATGTGGACACTAGCAACAGAGGCAGCAGTGCACACATATAACCGAACTCCACACAAGAGCAATAATTACAAAACTCCACTATCTATGATGAGTCCAAATACAGAGAGCCATGTAAAAGAACTGAGAAGATCGGACGTGTAGCTTACGTAAAAATTCCCACTCCAGAGAGTAAATTCTCTGACAGAGCAATAAAATCAATTCTGGTTGGATACACGCCCACAGGATACCTATTATGGCACCCTGAATCATTGAGATTTATTAATTCAAGACATGTAAAGGTCAACGAGAAAATTATTTACAAAGATATAACTAAAGAAACTGAACAGACAGAATTTGAAATCAGAGATTTCAGAGAAGAAAATAATACAGAGAAAGCACAGACTAATGAATCAAACAATCAGGATGCTGTTCAGGTTACAGAGAAGCAGAATTCAGCGACAGGAACAAAAAGGCCAAGAAAGAGGAAAAACAATCAAGAGAACACAGCAGAAATAGAAACTAGAACAGGTCCCAAAAGAAAGGCCAAAGAAAAGCCATTCAGAGATCCAAACTACGTTTACAATGTCAAAATAGACGACTCAAGAACAAACAAAAGCATAGACGATTTAACAGAAGAAATATATGTAACGTTAGCACAGATTAATAACGATCCAATCAACTTCAAAGACGCAATGAATTCACCAAATAAAGAAAAATGGATCGAAGCAATCAATGAAGAATTAAACTCAATGAAAGAAAAGGAAGTGTGGGAAATCGTGGATTATCCCAGCACAGATTCAGAGAACAGAAAACCAAACGTCATCGATTCAAGATGGATTTTCAAGAAAAAGTTAATGCAAAATGGCCAAGTAAAATATAAAGCAAGATTAGTCACAAGAGGCTTCAAAGACAAAAATGTCTATGACCTAAGAGAAACATACGCTCCGGTGTCACGCTTACCCGTGATTCGATCCGCATTAGCAGTAATAACGTAATATGACTTGGATGCAGTTCAACTAGATGTGAAAACTGCATTTTTAAATAGCGAACTGGATGAAGAGATATATATGGAAATACCAGATGGTGTAAATATTTCAGAGAAATTCAGAGGAAAGAAAGTCTGCAAATTGAAGAAAACCTTGTATGGCTTAAAAATAAGTCCAAAGAAATGGAACCTAAAATTTGCAGAAGAAGCTAGAAAACTGGGTCTTGGAAGAGATATTAATGACCCGTGTCTATTCACCTGGCCAAAGTGGTCATTTTGGTGCTATACGTTGACGATATTATTCAAGCGGGAAATGATCCAGAGAAACTTCACGAAATAAAAACCAGATTATATGAAGTATTTAAAATGAACGACTTAGGAGAACCGAGCATGTACTTGGGAATGAAAATTAAAAGAGACAGAGAAAACAGAACTATGACACTTAGTCAAGCAGACTATATAGAGAAAATCCTGGAGAGATTTAACATGAAGGAATGCAAACCACAAAATACACCAATGGAAACAAAACAAGTTAAGAACAGAGGAATGAGAAACAATCCAGAGAAAACTGAAGAGAATGAAGTACCTTGCAAGACTCCTTATCGAGAAGCTATAGGTAGCTTGCTATACGCATCAGGAGTCACGAGGCCCGACATAGCCTACCCCACCAATCAAATGGCGAGAATACAAAGCTCATGTACAGAGAAAGACTGGAAAAAGATCAAGAGAATACTTAGGTATCTAAGAAAAACCAAAGATATCGGTTTGATTTTCAGAGACCAAGGAGATAGTCTAGAAGCTTACACAGACTCAAGCTTCAAAGATCACGCAGACTCAACGTCAACTGGAGGATACATAGTGAAACTGTACGGAAACGCAGTAGCTTGGAGAAGCTATAAACAAAAGTTTGCATCACTATCCGTATGTCATGCTGAATATATAACGATGAGTGCTGCTCGTCAAGAGATTATATCACTTGACAAAGCTATCAGAGACATGACAGGAGAGTCTTATTATCATGCAACAATCTGGCGCGACAACCGATCAGCGATAGATTGTACCCAAATGGACGGATCACATAACCTAAAAGATTTTGACGATGACTACTCAGAAATTCAGAGAAAATTAACCGAGAGGGAGAAAACAGGAAATAAAGTTCACATAACTAACTTCCACGAGGACTACATTAAGAAATGTGTATTAGACAACAAAATCAAGAGACTCGGTCGAGTCACGCGCCAAGTACAGGCAACCGGCTGTACAGGGCGCAGCGCGCTGAGACTCTTTACTCGAGTCAACTCCTCATACCTGTCTTTGGAACGAAATATCTTATGAATCGCTATATATGAGGAAAAGTTATTCATACATTCACTATAGGAATTAAAGGTTCTAAAGCGATTGCCACCAAGTTCAATACGATTAGTGTATGAGATCAAGGCGTATTGAAATGGAGGTGGTGGTCGTGGTCGTGGTCGTGGTCGTCGTCGTGGTCGTCGTCGTGGTCGTCGTCGTGGTCGTCGTCGTCGTCGTCCCTTTTTTTTAGAAATGCATAAAGATAAATACAAATTTTTAAAGAAAATGTAATCTTTAGTGCATATAAGCGTCGTTAATGGTGTCCAGCTTGTTGAAGCCGTATGCTAAACGTAAGAGAGGAAAGTGTGCTGGATTATTTACGTACCTCAGGCCGAGCGAACAACAGAGAGGATACTATTGTTTGAGCGAAGCGCCAAAGCGTCGCTCGTTGCACACTTTTCTGGACACTCTACACCTCTACGTCCGACACCTAGATACAGGAAACTACGAAGCGGAATACCTGGAAACCCTGGACTTCCACATCCAACACATGGACACAGGAAACTACGGAGTGGAACACCTGAACACCCTGAACTTCCACGTCTGACACCTAGATGCAGGAAACTACGGAGCGGAACACCTGGACACCCTGGACTTCCACATCCAATACTTGGACACAGGAAACTACGAAGCGGAATACCTGGAAACCCTGGACTTCCACATCCAACACATGGACACAGGAAACTACGGAGTGGAACACCTGAACACCCTGAACTTCCACGTCTGACACCTAGATGCAGGAAACTACGGAGCGGAACACCTGGACACCCTGGACTTCCACATCCAATACTTGGACACAGGAAACTACGAAGCGGAATACCTGGACACCCTGGCCTTCCACATCCAGTACCTAGTGCGACGTTATTCCCCGAAAACCAAAATCTCACAGCTCAAGTAGATTGACGATAAAAGGTATTCAGAAAGTAGCGAACCGTACACAAAACGCCGTATGATTCTCCCTCAAGAAATTTTGATATTCACGAGACCCGATACGCGATAAAGTAAGTAGTGTTGGGCGCCAGGCGGTCTCCGGGGAGAACACCGCGAGTGCAGGGCACTCGAGATCTTAGAAATTCTGAAGAAAACGCGGGAAAGCTCGGAACAACGAAAGGGAAAAGGAAACAGGTAAGGCGACACCGCCAAGAGAAGAGAAGTGAAACGATAGGAACGGCGACTCCGCCAAGAAGAGAAGAGACAGATAGGTAAACGGCGACTCCGCCCAAAATAGAAAAGAGGAAACATCGATAAACGGCGACTCCGCCAAGATAGAAAAAGAGAAAGATCGAGGAACGGCGACTCCGCCAAGATAGAAGAGAGAAAGATTAATAAACGGCGACACCGTTAATGTAGAAAAGAGAAAGATCGATAAACGGCGACTCCGCCAAGATAGAAAAGAGAAAGATCGATAAACGGCGACTCCGCCAAGATAGAAAAGAGAAAGATCGATAAACGGCGACTCCGCCAAGATAGAAAAGAGAAAGATCGATAAACGGCGACTCCGCCAAGATAGAAAAGAGAAAGATCGATAAACGGCGACTCCGCCAAGATAGAAAAGAGAAAGATCGATAAACGGCGACTCCGCCAAGATAGAAAAGAGAAAGATCGATAAACGGCGACTCCGCCAAGATAGAAAAGAGAAAGATCGATAAACGGCGACTCCGCCAAGATAGAAAAGAGAAAGATCGATAAACGGCGACTCCGCCAAGATAGAAAAGAGAAAGATCGATAAACGGCGACTCCGCCAAGATAGAAAAGAGAAAGATCGATAAACGGCGACTCCGCCAAGATAGAAAAGAGAAAGATCGATAAACGGCGACTCCGCCAAGATAGAAAAGAGAAAGATCGATAAACGGCGACTCCGCCAAGATAGAAAAGAGAAAGATCGATAAACGGCGACTCCGCCAAGATAGAAAAGAGAAAGATCGATAAACGGCGACTCCGCCAAGATAGAAAAGAGAAAGATCGATAAACGGCGACTCCGCCAAGATAGAAAAGAGAAAGATCGATAAACGGCGACTCCGCCAAGATAGAAAAGAGAAAGATCGATAAACGGCGACTCCGCCAAGATAGAAA